ACTTTTAAGGTAAAAAAAACCAAAGCAGGATCTTCAATGGTGGCAACCATCCCACTCCCACTGGCAGTGATCTGTGGCAATTTTTGTCTTTTAAAGTCTCCCTCCCTGCCATCCAAAAGACTTCCCCAGGGCGAAGGGGAGCCCTGGGGAACTCAGTTGAAAGCTGAAATGGGGAAGGATAGGAAGCTTTTAATTAAATATTTCCAGTGCCTCGATCTGATTCATGCCAACACAATGTTGCAGAATAGGGTTTTGCCCATAGGATTTTCTGCTTTATCCCTAACAAGCAAGCCATTTGCACTTAGAAATCAAGATAAAGACCTTTAAGAGGTTTTTTTTAAAAAGCCAAACTTGAATTTATAGTCTCTTTCACTGAAGGTACCGTTAACTTATGAATGATTCTGTGCTATTTTCCAAATGATCTATATAAGTCAGTATTCTCTGTATACGCTCTGTATAAACAGTAAGTAGCGGTAGTGATACCCAGTGCTATGTAGTAGACAGAGAAAATGGGCTAGAACTTGGGAGACCTGAGTTTAATTCCCTAGCTCTTCCATGGAAACTCACAGGTGTGTGTGTATAGAACTGGTAAAAACCATCAAATATCTGACTTGTGTTGATAAACCTATTAGGGTGACTGACACTGACCTGACGGCATATAACAGCAACAGTAGTGATGCTAATTGCCAATTGTCTCATTGACCAGAAGGCATCTTCTGAACCATTTCCCACCTCTTAAATATTAGCTAAGCTTTATTTTTAGAAGCCTGCCTGACTTCAAAAAAGTTGGACTTAGAGCCACATTGCACAAAACATAGTAAATATTCGGGAAATATTGCTGGGGGTGGGCTTTAAAAAATCATTAATTTTGATTTTTCTGAATTTCAACAATCTCTTCCAGACTAAAAGGGGAAGAAAATACAGCAATGTTGGACTATGTTTTACCAGACTTCAGCACCATAAAGAAAGGGTTTTGTAAGGTAATTGTGTAACACCGTCTTCTGCATTCCCCCGAGATAACAAAATAAATAAAAAAATGAACCTCCCATAGATTTAACCATTTTTTCATCTTGTGTACCTCAAATGAAAAACAACTTTCCAGTCTATGACACACTGTAGTTTGGCACAAAATAGTCATATATGTATTTTTGGTATAAATCATTACAGCAGAGTAACATGACTACCTGATACATTTCTATTTGTACAGTGGTTCATGTGCATAATTCTCCACTTGTTGGCAAGTGACTTGGCCACTGACAGCCCCAGGAATGGGATAAATATGAAACCTACAACCTATTTTTGAAAAACAAAATCCTGTTTGAGAAAAACGAAGATATGGACTCAGTTATCAAACACTTATATCAAGCAATTCTGTTGAGTACAATAGGAAATTTCCAAGCTAAATATTTATGTACAACTGCAGCCTCATTCTTCAACTGTAACATGTTGGGCAAAGGTGATAACTCATTTTGTATTTCAAGATAATCAGATGTACTTGTGTGGAAGAAGCATAGGTTACAGATTCATGACATGGGTTGGCTGTTCTGGAATACAACATATTTTGTGCATGCTAGATACAAAAAATTCTATGTAACATATCGTATTTTCCATGTATAAAACAACATTCTTTACTTAAATAATTAGACAAAAAATTGAGGGCCATTTTATACATGGCAGCCACTTTCCCTGCCTTTTGCGAAGCCACAGGCAGCTGTGAAAGCCCGGCGTGACTGCACCCCTTTGATCCTGAAGCAGCCATGAAAGGGCTTCAGAATCAAAGGGGTGCAATTGTGCAAATTTTCTAATTTGGGGGTTAGTTGGAAAAGGAGTCGTCTTATACACTGGGTCGTCTTATAAACAGAAAAATACGGTAACTTCATTTTAGTATACAAAATTATTTAATGTTTGATGTTAATTTCACATCAAATGCTTTTCTGTCAATAGGCAGCGTAGTATTTTTAAATGATCTCTTCGATTCCACAGAAAATGTCACTTTTCCTATTTTGCGAATGTAGAAAATATTTTATTTTTAATATTTGATGCAGTTCTATACATTCCTGTGTTTTAAGTAACTGGTGTCTGTTTGATATAGCCAAGGGAAGAAATGGTCTTAAGTGGAAAATACAAAACTGGTGAACAAATACTTCGTCTTACAAATGAGCGATTTGCTGTTCCAGAGATACTCTTCCATCCTTCAGATATTGGCATTCAAGAAATGGGAATTCCTGAAGCCATTGTTTATTCAATTCAGAACTTGCCAGAAGGTAGTTTTATTAAAACAATGAAGCATTTGTTAAATCTTATGATGGAATATGTTGCACCTTCTGTTTTGCTTCATAAACTGGTTAAGGATAAAAATTGTATTGTCTAGCTTTTTTATCTTAATAGTGATATTTGGGCTCACTTTAGAAGTTCTAGGATCTTCAATGTAGAATTAGTGTTGGAGCTTAAAGACTTAAAACCTCAGTTTAACATTTTTCTCTCTGAACTGTTCTTAGCATTCAAGAACTCTAGGTCTGGTATCGAATTTAAGAAAACCTTTGAAACAAACCCTGAATAAATACCTAGTTAAAATGTTATGACACATATATTTGTTAGCAACATGAGTATGTGCTTTATTATTACTTAAATAAAATTATCATAGTTATCTGAGAAATTACTGAATTAAGGCAGTTAAAATGAACCCAAAATTGCATGGGGACCACAGCTTTACTTTAGCACCCTATTCCTAAACTTAGATCAATTTATTTTAGTAAAATATTTAGAAGCATGCTGCCACTCTTCCAAGGCAAGTGCTTTTCATTCCAGGCTAGGAGTGCAGTCTTAACATCTCATGTAGCTGATAGAGCAGGTTAAGATAAAAATGCATCTCTCATGGGTCTGGGTTACTTGCTGTTGGAAAGCTCTGTAGGTACAGCTCTTCTCTGCAGCGGTAGAGCTCAAAATTGGGGCATTCTGAAGATAGTTCTTTGTTCTTTGAGGCACCCACAGAGCTGCCATTGTTAATAATTGTCACTGGGGTGTTTTTTTCTGGAGGGGTGTGTTAAAAATATCTGTTGAGCCTCTTCCCCTCCCAACATTTGCCCCTGATCAGTGCAAAGCTGAAAGCCTTTGTAAATGGCAGATTGTCCACTCTGTCCTCCACAACATTAAGCTGCTCCGCCCTTTAAAATAAATTTTAACTAAGTTACTGCTGAATGCTGAATTATCTCCATGGGATCTTCTCCACAGAAATGCAGCCTCATTTCTTCAAAAATATTGTTCTGACTGGAGGAAACACACACTTTCCTGGCTTTAGAGACCGTGTTTACTCTGATGTTCGATGTCTCACTCCAACAGATTATGATGTTTCCGTTGTTCTGCCAGAGAAGTAAGTACTCCTTCATTTACAAAAGCTTATCAATTGACAAATATTTATATTTCACACTCCATCTTGTAGTATCAGTTTGGACAGCATCTGCTCTGGTCATAGTAGAGTATTTTAAAGAACTGTGTTTTTACAGATTAAACAACTGAAGATTATTTTTTATTTACTTTCAGTCCTATAACATATTCTTGGGAAGGTGGAAAACTGATTTCTGAAAACGATGACTTTGAAGATATGGTAGTCACAAGAGAAGACTATGAAGAAAATGGGCATAGTATATGTGAAGAGAAGTTTGATATTTAAGTGAATGTCGACATTATACTGTATATATGTTGATAACTGAACCAGCTAATCTTCTTACGTTGGGACTGTTTTAGGATTCTTAGAGCAAAACCTGTATTATGAAAAGAAGTACTCCTTAGGTAATATTGTGCTTTCAGTTTATTGGTTTCGTAATTCTTACTTCTGGCCACTAAAGTTCTGAAAAAGGGTGAGAATTTATATATTTAGAGTGTCTTACTTCAATTAATTTTGCAGTATACCACACATTTGATTCTAAAATCAATGTTTATTTTGATTATATATAACCTTTTTTTTCTATAGTTCTTACTCAGCTGATTCTGTTGCCTTTGACTGAATGCAGAAAAACTGGATACTTTTTCAAAGACTGGACTTCAGATTTTTTCAATCTCCCATTTAATTCTAATCAAGTATTGTATTATAAGAAATCTAAGTAGGATCATTGTTGTCTGTTCTGATGCGGGGCAAAGGGTAATAGTAGAAATCAAAATTTGAGAAAATTGTGAAGTCTTATTAAGCTTTTGTTAGACAAATCTTTTTTATAACCTAATGTAATTCAAGTCACTGTCTGGACTATTGGATGTTGGGTATTTAGTGCGGTAGTATTATGTAAATATTATCTCTGGAACTCCATAATAGAATGTGCCTGATATTTAAGCACGTGTTGAAGATACCATATTTTCCATGCCTATCCAGTTCAGCTTAGCTTGTGCTTTTATAGTTGATTTTATGTATTGCTCCATACTGTATGTTGTACCATTGCTGTATACTGCTTTGAAAACTTCAGACAAGTGGTTTATAAATATTACTAAATAAAAACAGGGTGGGGCAACACCAATGACTGAATTTAGTAGCTTCAAGTTTCTTATCTCTATGTATGACATCTCTTTCAATTTTTTATTCTGTCAGACTACAGGTTATGTAAAAGAATGAGATGATACTAGACGAAAAAATGGAAAAGAGTAAAGATTTTTTTTTAGAATGTTGGCAGCATAATTAAATCGAATAAAATATTCACATTGTCTCCCTGAAAATAAGACCTAACCTGAAAATAAGTCCTAGTTTGATTTTTCAAGATGCTAGTAATATAAGCCCTACCCCCAAAATAACCCCTAGTAAAGTGAAACCCCGCCATCCACCACTGCGCAGCAACCAGAAAAAGATGACATGACTGTATTTGAATAAATGTTGATTGTTGTACCTGAAAAAAATAAAACATCCCCTGAAAATAAGCCCTAATGTGGTTTTTTGAAGCAAAAATTAATATAAGACTGTCTTATTTTCGGGGAAGCACAGTATTGAGTTATATTTATTTAAGAGTTATAAGAAAAAATTTGTTGGCATAATAGGACTTTGGATTCTCTTGCTCATCACCCTTCAAGACTGAAGTATTTGGGAGTCACATGACTTATAGGAAAATTGCAATGCCTGCTAATTTTAATCTTTTCCACTGCCCTTTAGAGATGGGGCAACCAGACATGTATGTCTTATTCCACATGTGGCTATATCACAAATGTATACAGCCTTATTAAATTATTGGCTCCCGCATTGTTTATGAAACAAGTTTTTCAGAGCAATATCCAGTTCATTGATAAGAGCTCCACTATACAGAAAAGTTTTCAAGAACAGAGCACTATACTATCTTCATCTGTGAAATCTACCTGTGTTTCTTGCAAGAAAGTCAGTAGGCCAACAGTAAAATGGAAATAATGAAACATTGTAGCAGCAGTATGATAGGAAAATAGCTGTATTCTCCATCCCCTGCAACAACACAGTGAGACCCCTCATCGTTGTCGTTTAGTTGTGTCTGACTCTTCGTGACCCCATGGACCAGAGCACACCAGGCCCTCCTATCTTCCACTGCCTCCCACAGTTGTGTCAAATTCATGTTGGTTGCTTCAATGACACTGTCCATCCATCTCATCCTCTCTCGTCCCCTTCTCCTCTTGCCCTCACACTTTCCCAACATCAAGGTCTTTTCCAAGGAGTCTTCTCTTCTCATGAGATGGCCAAAATACTGGAGCCTCAGCTTCAGGATCTGTCCTTCAAGTGAGCATTCAGGTTTGATTTCCTTTAGAATTGATAGGTTTGTTTTCCTTGCAGTCCAGGGGACTCCCAAGAGTCTCCTCCAGCACCACAATTCAAAGGCATCAATTCTTTGGCGGTCAGCTTTCTTTATGGTCCAGCTCTCAATTCCATACATCACTACAGGAAAAACCATAGCTTTGACTATTCGGACTTTTGTTGGCAAGGTGATGTCTCTGCTTTTTAAGATGCTGTCTAGGTTTGTCATCGCTTTGCTCCCAAGAAGCAGGCGTCTTTTAATTTCGTGGCTGCTGTCCCCATCTGCAGTGATCATGGAGCCCAAGAAAGTAAAATCCGTCACTGCCTCCATATCTTCCCCTTCCATTTCCCAGGAGGTGATGGGACCAGTGGCCATGATCTTAGTTTTTTTGATGTTGCATTTCAGACCGTTTTTTGCACTCTCTTTCACCCTCATTACAAGGTTCTTTACTTCCTCCTCACTTTCTGCCATCAAAGTGGTATCATCTGCATATCGGAGATTGTTGATATTTCTTCCGGCAACCTTAATTCCGGCTTGGGATTCCTCCAGTCCAGCCTTCTGCATGATGTATTCTGCATATAAGTTAAATAAGCCAGGGATTCAGATTTTGGGAATAGTTTGCTATGGTCCACACAGTCAAAGGCTTTTGCATAGTCAATGAAGCAGAAGTAGATTATTTTCCTGGAACTCTCAGGCTTTCTCCATAATCCAGCACATGTTAGCAATTTGGTCTCTAGTTCCTCTGCCCCTTCGGAATCCAGCTTGTACTTCTGGGAGTTCTTGGTCCACATACTGCTGAAGCCTACCTTGGAGGATTTTGAGCATAACCTTGCTAGTGTGTGAAATGAGTGCAATTGTACTGTAGTTGAAGCATTCTTTGGCACTGCCCTTCTTTGGGATTGCCAAAGAATGCTCCAACTACCCAAAATCTACATTTTGAATAGTATAGGTGGAGAAGCAAACATAAAGATTGGCCAGGTACACTTCCGTAAAGAGGCTCTTTCACAAGCTGGTAGTGTGACTAAGAAGACCCATCCCTTATAATCATCCCAAACTGAACCTCTGATTTCAACTAGAGTTAAATCATTTTCACAGAAAAATGTTTCCTAATTCTTTTAATTAAAAATTTACTATTGTCAGGAAAAGTTCATTACAGAATATCCAAGAATTTTGAAGGCACACTATATAGTTATGACTGGGATAAACATAGATGAATAGAGCACTCAAGAAAAGTAGAATATATCCTGACAGAACTTGGTCATCTCATAAGAAGCTTATTCAATCTTCTTGTAGAGTAGTATATTTACACAACAGGGCTAATGCACTAACTCTTGACTGCATTCCTTCAATGCCCTGTTTCTGGGTAAAAGTTTTGTTGTGCCAGTTGAGAAAATATATTCAAAGCCACTTAGCCAAGATTAGTTCCCACTTAATTCCCCTCAGCTATCTCTTCAAACTAAGTGATAAAACTAGCAGAAAGGTAGATTTCCTCTTTGATTTCAATGCATGCCCATGACAGAAATAAAAATACTAATCCTCAGTACAAATATATCTATTTATCACACTTATAACCTGTTTCTTGCAAAGAGCTGAGGCATGGAGGGTTATATCTCAGGAAAGGAGATGTAAGCCCCCAAAAGATCTGTGGATCTCATGTTTGAATAAGGTTGCAAACTTATGCATATGTATTTCAAAGTAACTGGTTCTGAACATGAAGGCTTAGCCACTGAAGATTCACCCTCCATTAATTTATCTGAAATTCTTTACTATCTCAGCTTGTACCTATCACCATAACAATAAATTCGAGTAATACATTTTTGTCCACCTCTATTTACCAATTAATTTTTCTAAGATACTCTTCAGTTTTTGTGTTGAGGACATTTTTTTTCTGTGTCAATTACTATTATTTATTTAAAACGTTTTTAATCCCAGCTTTCTCCCTAAAAAGGACCCAAGTTTATAATAAGAACTAAGTTTATAAACTTTAATCACGCCCCTTTCTTTTCCCTCATAATTAATAGGGCCCAAATACTTCGTTTCTCTATATACCACTACTCTAAAATGCAGTAATCCTCTTTGTGTACAAGAACGGTAAATAATATTCCAAACGGAGAAAGATACAAATATAAGCTGTAAGCTTTATTTCAATCAACTTTCAAAAATTCCCGTTTCTAAAAATTGCTTTTTGCCGCAACTATCCCACACGGAACAACTCTTCCCGACCGCTCCTGCCCAATTCAGAGGCCACTCGTCAGCGAACCCGTGAAACGGAGCACTCCTCGGCCCCTTTCGTTTCCACGACACTTATTTTGGCACCACCTCTTTTTGTCCCTTATTAACGGTCTCGCTAAAAGGTCTTCGAAAGGACGCTCGCGCGCTTACTGAACCCGCGCACGCCCTCCTCTCTCCTCACGCAGCCGAAACGGCCGTTGGTAGGGGCCGCCTTGGACGAAACCGGCGGGGGCGGTGGGCGGGGCTTCCTCCCCATGATTTCCGGCCCTGGCGAGGGCGCCCTGTTTTCTACCTCCCTTCCCCGTGACAGGAACGGGAGGCGGCAGCGGAAGCCGGAGTGGAAGTGGCCAAGCTGGGTTCCGTTGAGGTGGCTGTCATGGTGTAGTCGCGCCCCGGGTCGACACCGGTCAACCAGGCCCCACGGTGGGCGCTGCACCTTTTCTCCCGGTGGAGGTGAGCCGGTGGGGCCTGCCGCGGTGGGGGGCGGAAAGTGGCCTTGAGACCCAGACGCCGGGGAGGGCTTGTTTTCACCACCCCCCACCCCCCACAGTCTCCAACAGGGCCTGTTCGATAGTCTTCTTCTGGCCAGACTTGGCCGGGAGGAGGATTTGAAGGCCCTTCGGTACCTTCTCCCGTTCAGAAACCGTCCCCAAGTGATTGCCACCGAGTTTGGGGAAAGGGGAAGTCACGGTCAGATCCGTCCGTCCCCCCTTAGGCAATATCTGCACCTTTTGTACCCACTTCTAGCTTCACGAAGAGCTGTTCCTATTGGTTGTGGGGTTGCTCTAGGTTCAGAAATACCTTTGTTTGTGTGTTTAGTCGTGTCTGACTCCTTGTGACCCCCTAGCTTCACGAAGAGCTGTTCCTATTGTGGGGTTGCTCTAGGTTCGGAAATACCTTGGTTTGTGTGTTTAGTCGTGTCCGACTCTTCGTGACCCCATGGACCAGAGCATGCCAGGCCCTCCTGTCTTCCACTGCCTCCCGGAATTTGGCCAGATTCATGTTGGCCACTTCCTAGCATTTCTTAAATGTTGCTGAGCTTACTCACTCGGAGGGGTGGGCGGACTTTTGTAGGACTGGTTCCAGCTGTCAACTGATGAAAGTTTTTTTAAGAAGGCGAGAATGCTTTTATATTTAGGCGGTTGGCCACTCACTAAATGCATTAAAAGTAGCAGGGATGAATTGTGTTGAGCATAATTGGTGCCTAGCAGAGGCATGTTTTATTTTCAAGACATATGTAATGGTTTGTATCAGTATAAGCACACACATGCTTTATGTTCTGCTAAGAGAAACTAATATATCAAATGGATGATAAAACTAAGGTATTTAAGCACATATTGTATCCCTCACCTCCTCACTGGCTTATTGTAGCATCTGGCAGAGCTCTTGTTGTTGTTTAGTCATTTAACCCCATGGCTTAAGCACATATCCCTCACCTCCTCACTGGCTTATTGCAGCATCTGGCAGAGCTGTTGTTGTTGTTTAGTCATTTAACCCCATGCACCACAGCACGCCAGGCCCTCCAGTCTTCCACTGCCGCCCGGAGTTGGGTCAAACTCATGTTGGTAGTTTCAATGACACTGTCCAACCATCTCATCCTCTCTCGTCCCCTTCTCTTCTTGCGTTCACACTTTCCCAATACCAGGGTCTTTTCCAGGGAGTCTTCTCATCTCATGAGATGGTCAAAGTATTGGAGCCTAAGCTTCAGGATCTATCCTTCCAGTGAGCACTCAGGGTTGATTTCCCTCCGAATGGATACGTTTGATCTTGCAGCCCAGTCTTTAAACCAAATTTCTTGTTCCAAGGAAATGGCCTTTACAAGATTACTACTGAATGGAAAATAAATGTAGTTTGGTGCTTAATATATAATGGGCCTTGAATTTTCAGATAAATGTTTTGATATTATAGCTACATCTCCTGCAAAACAGTGAGTGAAACATGAATGAAATGAAAACTGCTGTCTTTCAGTGCTATTGTCCAAAGTGAACTTACCTTTTCCCCCCTAAAATATAACCTAACCTGAAAATAAACCCTAGTGTGATTTTTCAGGATGCTCGTAATATAAGTCCTACTCCAAAAATAGCTTGAGTTAAGTGAAACTCCGCCATCCACCATTGTGGAGCAACCAGAAGATGACATGACTGCATTTGAATAAATGTAGGTGGTTGTACATGACAAAAATAAAACATCCCCTGAAAATAAGTTCTAATGCATTTTGGAGCAAAAATTAATATAAGACCCTGTCTTATTTTTGGGGAAACAGGATACAGTACTAAGAATGGAACAGAACTGAATACTAACATATGTAGGGAGCAAGTATCAGCAGGCTACTTGGACTTTTTTTGATTGGCCAGGATTTACGTGGGAGGAGAAACCTCATTTGTTTCAGTTGGAATGACTTCATGGAAGACATTTTTAGGATTTCACTGTTAATTGTTCAAAAGATAAGTTAGAACAGATTTTCCAATGCTTGTGGAACATGATACAAACAGATGACTAGATTATCAGAGTTCATTGAACCCATATTATTGCAAATTGAATAGATATGCCTGTGTGTAAATGTTAGTATTAGTATGCAATGCTTGGGGGGGGCTTTGAAGATAATTTGGAAATTTCAGTTGGTTCGAAATGCAGCAGCCAAGTACAAGAAGCATATAACTCTCTGCTACAACAGCTCCACTGGTTACCAATCTATTTCTCGACCCAATTCCAAGTTCTGATTATGATCCATAAGGCCCTATACAGTTTGGGTCTAGACTATCGGAAGAACTGTATCTCCCCGTATGAGCCTTTCTAGCCCTTAAGATCTTCAGTGGAGGTCATTCTCTCAGTCCCATTGCCATCACAGGTGTGATTGATGAGAACATGAAAGAGGTTTTTGGCTGCTTCCATGTTGTGGAATTCTGTCCTTCAGGAAGTTAGATTGCCCCCTTCCTTTTTATCCTTTTGATAGATAAAGATCTGCCTTGTCATGCACATTTTTAATAACTTTGAGTCCATCCTGGATGCTGAGTTTTTATTCTTCTAAGTGTTTTTAAATGCTTTGAAATTTTTATTTTATAATTGTTATTAATTTTATGGTATGGTTTTTAACCTTGTAATTTTAACCTTGTGTCTGTTGATGGCCATATTTTCTCCGACGGGGACAGGTCATTGAAGGGACACATCTAACTGACTAGAATTGGAGCCAGTAATAACCACAGTGTGCAGCAATACAGGATTGCATATCATCTTGGTGTGCCACTCAGTCCTTACTCTTTTTCCATCTTATGCTTTCACCCACTAAGCAGAGGGTGAAATGATTCCTGGACAGGCAGTCCAAAGATTGGAGTTGGAGAGAGACTATAGCAGTAATGGCTAACCTTTATGAGCCCAAGTGCCCAAACAGAGACACAAAACTAAATTATTTCTTTCAAAGTGCCAACACTGCAATTAAATCTGAATACTGATGTTTTAGTTTAGAAAAAAAAACAACTCATACAGATGTCTGAATTAATCATCACCTTTTGTCTTCAAAACATATCAATGATACAAACACTTTTTTATTGAAAAATAACTATTAACTCTAGTAAATGGAAACAAATATCAAAGTAATACAAGCCAGGTAATTTGTACAAACTTAAAATAATTATATGCATGAATTTTTTTGATAAGAGATACTCAACTTGGCATGCTTTTGCACAATGTGATTTTTGATGTATGCATGCTGATAATTTGTCAAACCTTGGCCCATATGCTGCTGGTTTGAGAGCAACATATGTAGCACCCAGACAACCAAGATAGTGTGGTTGCTGACCTTGAGCCAGACATCCTGGAGAGTGAAGTCAAGTGGGCCTTAGAAAGCGTGGCTAACAACAAGGCCAGTGGAGGTGATGACATTCCAGTTGAACTATTTAGAATCTTAAAAGATGACACTGTTAAGGTGCTACACTCAATATGCCAGCGAGTTTGGAAAATTCAGCAGTGGCCAGAGGATTGGAAAAGATCAGTCTA